CCCGCGCGCAGCCCGGGCCCGCACCCTGCGGGCGCTCGGGACTCCCGGCTCGGGGCTGTGACGGTTTGTCACTGAGGAGCCTCTGCTTAAGGGATTCAGCCCTGAGCAAAGTAGAGAAGACCAGAGGCCCATGAAATTACAAATTATAAGATCGAGCTCAGAAAAGTGCTAAATATCTAGTGAAGGGGGGTGGGGGTAAAATTCAAACTGATACCGATTGGATTAGCTATTTTTGAATCTTCAGACTTGCTCTTTTCCATCCTTGTAAGAAATTCTTTTCTTTGATAAAGATTTTCTATTCTCAATTCCTGTACATCTCCTCCGCCAAAACAGTTAATAAACTCAACGATAAGAACACACACTGATGTTTAGCTCTCAGGATGTGCCACGCTTTTTACATGTATTTTCAAATTTGCAACTCTCAACAATTCTGTAGGTTAGTGACCAGTTACGATCCGTATTTTAAAGATGCAGAAAGTTGAAATAACTTCCTCAAGGTCACACGCCTAGTGTGTGGCTGAGCTGGGTTTGAACCTAGGTAGTGGAATCTTAGAATTGTTTATAAATGTTGCTGCTCGTCTAGAAGACATTTTATACTACAGTGTGTCCTAAAATAAGAAAGGGTACATAGAGGGAGAAGGACATTTTGACTAATATTCTTTAAAAAACAATTTTAGAAAACATAAATCACTTTATTTCCGACATAGATACATATGTAACTTCTCGAATATAGAACCTGACACAACATAATATGTGTTGAATAAATGAATGGCCTTCAAAGCACTGAAAGTTATTTCAGATTGTAATCTGTTTGACACAGTAGTATATTGTTCTGACAATCATTATAAAACCACCTCCAAAACATTGAATATTTTATATTCAGAATTTACTTTTATTCTGTCCTGTCTGAAATTCAGGAGAATGCCTTGTACTTGCCCTTTGCTCTGAAAGTTTGGCAGTGTTCTTTGGCCAAAAGCAATAAAGTTCTGCTTTGCCTTTATTAGGCTCAGGGCTTGCCCTCTTGAGAGGGCATTGTCTCCAAATTGCCCTTCTTCCTGGGTGGCGCTGGGTACTCCCATTCTAGCCCCGAGTCGTCACCCAATCAAAACTTCAATCAGTTCTTGAGTGTCACAAAGAACACGTAATAAACCAAAACGCCAGGCCGTTAATGGCTGATAACAAACAGCTTTATGTGTGGGCCCTCAGTGACATGTCTATGCCACTAAAGACTCTGAATGGGCACTGTCTTCATTCAGATCAGTTGTGGCTTGCAAAAGCTGTCTGAGGAGTGTATGGGTGGTGGGAGTGATGCAGGAGCCCTTCCCAGGCCTTTTCTATGCTCTGTGAAAATCTATTCAATCTATTTTTTTTTTAATGGCATGCTTATAAAGAATTAGGAACAAACGTAGAATAGTTCTTGTGATCTGAAAGGCCTGCTGCTGCGTCTGGGGAGTCAGACACTCCAACTCAAATGCCCCTTGTGTAAGTTACGTCTTTGCCTCAAGGCATTCTTCCCACAAAATCACTTTAAAATGATGGTTTTCTGGGAAGGATTATATTTTTATTTTTTTAAATTTCTATCCTTCACCCTTTCCTTTTTGGCAACCATCAGCTTGTACTCCATATCTATGGGTCTGTTTCTGTTTTGCTTTTTATTGCTGCATAATATTTCATATATATAATCACATATTCCTTATCCATTCATCTGTTGACACCTGGGTTGCTTCCATATCTTGGTTATTGCTAGTCTGCGATGAACATAGGGGTGCATCTATCTTTGCAAATTAGTGTTTTTGTTTTCTTCAGATGAATGCCCAAAATGGAATTTCTGGATCATGTGGCAGCTCTGTTTTTAATTTTTTGAGGAATCTCCGTACTGTTTTCTATAGTGGCTGCACTAACTGACAATCCCACCAACAGTTTACAAGCGTTCCCTTTTCCCCACATCCTCGCCAGCACTTGTTGTTTGTTGATTTATTGATGGTAGCCATTCTGACAACTGTGAGGTAGTATCTCATTGTGGTTTCAATTTGCATTTCCCTGATGATAAGTGATGTCGAGCATCTTTTCATATATCTGCTGGCCATCTCTATATCCTCTTGGGAGAAATATCTAATCAGGTCCTCTGCCTATTGATATAGTGTTCCCTAGCAAATAGCCAGCTAGAGAGAACAGGTTAGGTAGACTTGATAGCACAGTGAATATAAAAGAAAGACTACAAACCCAGTTGTGCAAGAAATACCATATCTCCACCTTTTCTCTAAACCCACTTGTTTCAAGCTAGGGCTAACCAGGAAATTAGAGACCACTCTAAATATTGACAAAGACAATTGAATGCAAGGAATTGATAACGCAGCCAATGGAAGAACTCAGAGGCTAAACGGGGTTTGGTGAGGTAATCCAGAAATTAGCAAGTGCAGTCCATAGCTGGAGAAATAAAAGGTGGAAGCAGGGTTACAGGGGGCCAGGCGGCATGGCCAGCCTGGTGAGAGCTGCTGCACAGAGGAGAGACAGCCACTGCCAAAGAAGTCATCTGTGGCAGGGAGAAGGGGGAAATACACCATAGCTTCTCGTCTCCTCCTGCCCTCCAATCTCCTGTCAGTGCCTTCCAGTTGGCCAGACCTAGACACCAGCCGCCATAAGAGCCAGGGAAACGATCTACAAGCCTGCAACATAGAGGTGAATAGAGGAAGGGCACAGAATGTAAATCTGAGGGCAAACAAGCCCCAGGTGAGTACAGCATTTTATTTCACTTTGAAGGCGTCAGTCGTTCAAAGGTGTTTCCACACTCTCTTGGATAGGGTCAAAGTTCCAAGAGCATATGTCATGCCAGGCCATGCCATGGGTAGG